ACGTGTATTTAATTCTTTCAAACCTAATATTTTCTTACGAAAATTATTCACAATATCACCCATACCAGTCCATGTCTTACAAATAAAAAACAATCAAGAAATCAAAAAAAATTATTTATCTCTTTCATTCACCTACCAACATTTCAATAACATCATACGAATACAAATTAATCTTGTCCTTTGGTCTAATTGAACTATGAATATGTGATAATGGATGTGGAAAAGCAGTTGTTGGTGACCATGGCATAGTAAACATAATATGTAAAGGAATTTCTAATTTTTCTGCACAATGTATATGACCAAATGATGGTGGATTTGCAATGATTGCTTCAGCTATAAATGGTGCTTTTGTTTCATCATCATCGGCTATACATGCTTGCCATGTTGATGCAAGAATATCAGTCAGAGAACGACGTTGTTTTTCTATATCACCTTCGATAATACTATTCATAGAAGGAATAATTCCAGCATTCTTTACCATAAATGACATTAAATCAGCTGGATCACCAGCTAATGGATAAAATTCTAAACCATTACCACGAACGAATGATCGAAATGTTTCATGTGTTGCTAACCGTACACGATGGCCAGCTGCACGAAGTGCTTGACCAAGACTTTAGAAAAAAAAAAAGTATAAAATCGAATCTTTGGCAAGTAACGGGTGGGACAAAAGTTTTGCATTAATTTTATTTTTGATATAACTCTGCAACGCAATGTTATGGAGACTTGATTTTTTTTTGTTAGAAAGAGCAAAGTGTCTAGTGCAAGAATATATAAGAGTTTGATTGGAAATGTTTTTCAAAAACTACAACAATCTTAGAATAGAAAGCATTGGAAAACTCTTCCGCAACTTTTTTGAACTTAGAAAAAAATTCCTATGAATTAGACAGGTTATCTTTTTATTCGTCTAATCCGGATTTTATAATATAAGGATAGAGCACTATTGCGTTACAAAAAAAAAGAAATTTTCTACATGTTTTATAACGGTCGAAATGAACGCTTTTATAATATCGTCTGTGTCATCAATTTTTCATCATTGTTGGTAGCAATCGAAAAAAATAAACTCTATGTCGCTGGAGAGATTGCTAGAAACTATATATTTTATATGAAAACGAAAGTTTATTGAGTCCTCTACCAAACGATATTATTTGGAACAGGACGCAACTTCTCTATGAGATATTCAGAAAAAAAACCTTATTTTCACGCTTCAAAACCAAATTTGAACAATTAATTTGTTTTTATCAACGTGTCTTTTGTTCATTCTCTTGTATGTTATACCAATTATTTTAATACCAAATGAAAACCTCCGTTGTAATGAACAACTGTATATATATATATATGATGCTCGAGGGTGTCGAAAGTGGCTAATGAAAAAGGTTCAAACAAATATTTTTGAATTAAAAAAATGTGACCAAAGTTGTGGAAGAGTTTTTCGGAGTCTTGCATTCTAAAACTATTGTGGCCTTCGAAAAACATTACAAATCAAATTCTTTTATATATTTTTGCACTAGACACTTTGCTCTTTCTAACAAAAAAAAAATCAAGTCTGTACGACATTGCGTTGCAGTGTTATATCAAAAACAAAATTAATGCAAAAAATTTTGCCCCACCCATTAGGAAAAAAAAAGTTATTGAACTCACGCAATAAATGGTTGAACATCACCTCTTGTACCAACGATAAGTATAACAATAGCTAGACGAGGTATAAGACGATCATCATCGAAATTATTTTTATCTTCATTTGTTTGATTTTCATTGATTATCGGTTGAGAAAGAGATTTTAATGATGTTGATATATCCTTTGATTTTCTATTTAGATTAAATATTATATCAATACGACCATCAGTATTATCAACACTAGCTGTATACTGAAGAATGTTATTTGATTTTATATCTGAATCTTTAGAGTTTTCAAGAGTTTTTTCATCTATAATGACTTGTCCAGTAGCATAAGGAATTTCACCATGAATAAAAAGACAAGTATGAAGAGAAAGAGTTGTATTAATACAACAAATAACCAAGATATTGTTCTGATTATTTTCATTATTTAATAATTTTGAAGGTAATTCAATGGGATTTTCTAATGATACTAGTGAGCCTGAAAAGATTTGTATATTATTAAACCATATAGTACCATTGATATTCGATTGTTTATCATGACTATCTGATGATTGAAAATTAAGGTAGAATTGTTGTTCATATTGTTGATTTATTAATATCCAATCAAATCGTTTACGATACCACCATTTGCAAGGTCGTTTAACAGTATTGATAATATGTGGTAATTCTATAGAAGACCAATATTGATTTGTATTGATGTCATTGACAGTAGAGACGATCGTTTTTTCATCAGTTTCATCATCTAATGGTTGACAATAACATTCCCAGTCGTTATCAATATTGATATTTGTCAGTTCTTTATGATTTGTTGTCATGATTTAGTAATCATGAAAGAAAAAAAAACATAGCAGGACAATGACGACACTTATATACCTATCTTTCGATCAACCGTGAAAAAGACACTATTTTTTTCCCATTCAGTCATATCGTCTGATGAGTAATACTCTATAAGTCATTACTATCATCGCTTGTCGTTTTTGTTCGACGCTGATATCTTGAGTGAGTCTTTTTTTTTTTGCTGTTCTGTTCTTTTACCTTTTCAGTTCACGTTTATCCAGACATTTGCATAGAAAAAGCAATATTGGATACTTGGTTGTTGTTCTAGTTGTGCTTACATTTAAATTATCTATGACATTTAATGATATTATTCATCGAAGATTTATTTTCTAGGTAAGTTTTTAATGTTGACGATAGGTGAGGCCATTTTTCTTAAAGATGAGTCAAAATAAATGAATCATTATAATTAACGGTAATAAGTATGAATCAGTTTGACAACGAAAATGTACAGGGTAGGTAAAAATATTTTTCCAAGGGGGGGGGGGCATGCTGTGATTTTAAATGGAGTCTATAAATTTATTATGTTTGATATAAAAAGATTGACAGACTCGCTACTATTTAATTTTGATAAATCCTATTTTTGATGCCCTTTCATTTGACATACAGTTTGTCATTGACCTTATTTAAAATCACACCATTAATCCCGTGGAAAACCATTTTTATGCATCTTATTTCTAAAGATTTGCTGTGTTTGATATAAGGAGTTTTGTAGAACTCTTACCATTTGGTGCCGAAAAACCCTTTTTGACGCCCTTTCATTTGTTATAAAATTTATTATTGACTCTATTTAAAATCATAACGTTATCCACCTGGAAAAATATTTTTACCCACCCTGTACTTATGATTCATTATTTATTTTGAAAAATATATGTCGTAGCTAACACAAGTCTAAATAGCTCATTAACATCTCTGTCAGTGTTTTTATTCTATTTGAAGTGCTTATTATTGCATTCTTTCCTTTTCTTTTTTTGTTTCTTATAAAATATCTTAGATATGGATCTTTCTCATTCATATTTCAAATATTCTTTTAAGACACAATTCTTTTGATCTATTGTAAATACATCTTTCTTAGAAAGTCTTGAGTTCGAATCGCTAAATGGTTATCGTACTCGTTTTTGGCACAGTTTTCGATTACGATTCCAGTAACTTACCCTAACAACAAGGTACAGATAATATCCTTTCGATTTCGATCCATTTTCGACACCGCGATTCGGTGACTGAACGTGACAAAACAATATGAAAATCTTTTTTTTTACAATAACCACTTTAGAAGACGTGTCTTTTTAACAAGTAACTTCGACTTCGATCAAATATCAATTTTAAATCGATTAAAAATCCTTTTCAAAATACCAACTGTAACAAGTATCTTTCTCGAAGAAATGCGATGTTGTTGTTATTAAAATAACGACTTTATTTTCTATTGTTTGTTGTTCAATAAATAAAGTACAAGATGATAATTCTTGAAATAATTCAATAGATTCAATTTTGTTGCATTACATATTAGTGTAGGAAGTTTTTCTTGTTCATCAAAAGCTACCAAACATATTCCACTACCTTTTGATGTCATAAATTTAACTTTTATGTACCCTTGCTCACACTCACCTACTCTCAATACTTCTTTCGGATACTTTGAGGCTTATATATTTTAATCGATCTGATATTTATTGTAATGTTGATGAAGCTTTTAGCAAATGAACATATAGCACGTAATGAAATATGTGAAGAAATGACCTTCACTCTACACCGATACTCATAATTTACATCCTTTATTTTTTCAAGAGAAAAAAAAAGTTTCTTCATTTATGTTGGTATAAGCAAACTAGCAGATGCATACTTGAGAATCAATCACATAGGAAGTGCATGATTGACACTTACAGTAAAACAAAATGAAAGAAAAGAGAAAAAAAAACAATTTGTTTTTTTTTCAATTCTTTTCATAAATCGATAAGGTTTTGTTTGTATTATTTTTCTTAAAAGAATAATTGCGAAGCAAGTTAAATTTATGGCATCAAAAGGTAGTGGAATATGTTTGGTAGCTTTTGATGAACAAGAAAAACTTCCTACACCAATACGTAATGCAACAATTGAACCTATTGAATTATTTCAAGAATTATCATCTTGTATTTCATTTATTGAACAACAAATAAAAGAAAATAAAGTCGTTATTTTAATAACAACAACTATAGAAGAAAATATATTACAAATATTTGAATCTCTTACAGTTATTGAAGCTATACTTATTTTATCAATAATAAATACAGATGTAGATACATTACCAAGTAAAGTCATTGGTGTTTATTCTCAAACGGAAATTTTCTTACGATCACTTTCTGAAACACTTGATATAATAGAACAACGAATTAATGCTAACAGTATTATTTTTAATCATCATACAGATGGAACTGATAATTTAGCTTTTTATTTTTATTATTTATGGAAAAATTATACTGAAAATCAAAAAAGTACAAAACAATCTCTTGTAGATCAAGCACGAATTATATTTCAATCAAATAATCAAATAAAATCTTATATTCAACAATTTGAAACATCATACCAATCAAATGAGGTTTTTTCTTGGCTTGATAAACAACATCATCCATTTCCATATCATCTTCTTATTTCAAATGCTCTTCGTTCTCATAATCAAGAATTATTAACACTTAGTCGTTTTTTTCTTGATGATCTTACAAAAAAAATGAAACCTATATCAACAGGATCTAATTATAAACAAGTTTATTTTACTACTAAATTATCAACAAATTTTATCGATCAACTTGAACAAAAATTAAAAACAGATATTATTGCATTTCAATGTTTTCTTCCTGTAACATTTTCAAGAACTAATGCTTTAACTGAAGCTACACGACCATCTCGTCGTCAAAATATGAATAATGTTCTTTTTAAAATTAATATAACCGATAATATATTATGTGCAAATTTAGGTGAGATAATTCTTATTGATATGGCAACACCTTTTCAAATTGCATGTGTAACAAGAAGTGCTGTTACTACTAATGGTCAACAATTATTAACTATTATTAAATTAATAGCACTTAATAAAGATGATAGAGATAAATTATTTGAACAATTTATTCAACAACAAAAAAATTTAGGCAAAACAATAAATGATTTATTACAAAGATTACATTCTGATATTAGGTTAGTTATTTGATAGTTGTCTTTTTTGTTTAATAAGTAATCAAGACACAAGTAAAGATATGAAGTACTACTATTCATTATGATATTTGGCTACATGCATGCGACAATAAACTTGAATCACAAGCATCGATTCGCACTCAATCGGTTAACATATATTGAACTCAGGGCTCTCGATGTGGGAGGAGGAGCTAGGGGGCTGCTCTCGCCTCCCCACACAAATTGAAAATCTGTTTTGCTGTCTGGCAAATTTTTAAATGGACGCTGTTCGGGGGATCTTCGCAAGCTATTTCCCCTGGCCCCGATCACGACTTTCTATGAAACACAGAAAGTGGCGCACTACTGCCCTCCCCCCGATCACCGGTTTTTATGAAAAACTAGGAAATTTTCGGTAGCTATTTTTGAAAAGCTTTCGTTAACAGACTGTCTTCGAAAGTTTATGGAAAGTGTCTGCTCCCTTCCCGCCTCTCCACTCTCAAAAACAATCGAGAGCCTTGACTGGAGTTATGATATGGAATGGATCTTTTCCATGATGATTTTGACCAATGTATTCGAAAGTGTCAGTAGAAAATTCCCATAAGACGATGAATCTCTTCTGAAAATTTTTAAGCCATAGCATTGTACGAAGTCGAGTTACTGCTACGATATTATCGAACTGTCTTTACCGCTAGAAAAAAAACACTAATAAAATGACAAACAAAATTTTTTTTTAGTGTATATTTCCACTGAATATGCTTTTCGCAAGAGAAACAAGATATGTGAATCAATGGAGAACGAGCTGACATTTGCAATCAGGCTTTATTATCACATTCATACACCGCAAATATCAGTAGTACTTCATGGAGAGCAACTACTTTTGTCTAAGACTGTATATTTAGCTGATTAGTCAGAGTAATTTTGTATAATACGTTTCACAATAATTCATAGTACATTATCACTACCCTTTTCAGAGAAATAGAGAAGCTATTGTTCTAACAGCACCATGAACTACTCTAATGGTGATTTGTATTCTGGATAAAACAGCATACGTAACGAAAGCATCACTTTCCATCGATCTTCGCGAAAATAAAACAGTTGCTACTGTTCTGATTCTCCACTGCTACTGAATTTTGTGATAGAATTTTTCTACTAAAGTTTATTAGATGTTTTGTTTTTTTATTATGATCAATAATTGAAGTTAACCAAATTAATATTTCTCTTTAGTGATGATGAAGCTTTAGCAGATGAACATATAGCATGTAATGAATGGTCACAAGCAGCAAATATGTTTGCTCGTATAATTAATCCAAATGTTCGTGTTCTAAATAAATATGGATGTTTATTACGTGAACATTTAAATAATTTATCTGATGCATTGAAATGTCATCAACAAGCATTATTGAAAGCTACTAATCGAGAACACGCTGAAACCCTTATTTATTTAGGTTTAGTTCATAAAAATATGAAACAACATGATGAAGCATTTAAAGTTTATTCTCAAGCATTACAATGGTTTGAAAATGAAACAAAACGAGATTCAGTAATGATTGCTCGTTGTCTTATTGGTCTTGGTAATGCACAATGGGGACGTCGACAATTTACTGAAGCACTTGATTATACTGAACGTGCTTTAGCTATACGTGAACATGAAATTAAACCAAAAAATGATTTTGATATTGCTGCTTGTCTTGGTAATATGAGTAATATATTACATGATCAAGGTGATATTCAACATGCATTATCATATGCTACTCGTGCTGTTGATCTTTTGAGTATATGTGGAAAAGATGATCCTCGTCTTGCTGCTGCATTGAATAATTTAGGTGCAATCTACATAACCAAT